AACGTAAAAAATATAAAGTATGAACCAATCAATTTGATCTACCACAAAGCTGTCAATAACTGTAACACTCTTACATTGAAACTTGTGGATGAAGAGAATAAGCTTATTGATTGTAAAACTTGTGATATACACATAGAACTACACATAGTCTAGATTCTCTTAAAACCAGATCCACTTTTTAGAGCTTTCAGGAAATCATTATTTTCTTTCGATAGTTTCGCTTTGTTTTTAGCCTTCGTGACTTTGGGGTGTGGTTTACTATTTTCTTCGTTTTTCAAACTTGGGAGTCCTTCCTGAGGTTTATCTAATAGTTCTATTTTATTACTTACGTTGGGTTTATTAATCACATAACTGGATGTAGAATTTTGCTCTTGTGTGTGGAAGAATCTCATTATTGAGTTATTTATTTAGTATAAAAGTTAATCAACGGTAAGCGATTGAACAGATGGACGGTGTACGATTTCCCTTAATTCTACAGCCTCATACTCTCTTCTTCGTTTTCTATTTTTCCTATCAATAAAAGTTTTTGGTGAAAGTATCATCCAGAATGATCTGACTATAAAGAGGTATACTAAAATTGCTGGCAAAGTGACACCAACTCTCCAAATTCTAAGCCACCATTTTCCAAAGAAACCTTCTACATCATCTAATATCTCATGAGGCATTGTAGAGTCTTGATTACTCGCGTGAATCTCAATCGAAACATCAGACTTTTCTCTCATTTCTTCTATAAGTTCTTCCTCAATATTTGTTTTCATATCCAACAGAATATGCTCATTGAACACTACTTTGTCATCTAAGAATTTCAGATCAAATTCCTTGAAATCTTTCATGTTAGTAATATTAGTTCTAAAATCAATCATAGGATGAAGCTGAGGTTTATTGGAAATAATTCCTCCAGAGTAGTCATTCTTAAAGTACCAAATTTTGTCTCCAAGACTTTTAATCTTGATTGGAATTTGTCCTAGTGTTAGCGCTAAGCTCAACTTGTATCCATCGAAACGAGTAAGATCAATGAAATCGATTTCTTCTTCATCAATTTCTTTACAGAATGTAGACTTGAACAATTCCATTTGACTCTTGAGAATCTATAAACCTTACTTTGATGGCTGTATGATTC